TTTACAGTACTATGCATCGATTCCCTCCTATTAAGCAGGTCTTAAGTCCAGTCAGACAGCTATTAACTCTCCACAAGATAAAAATGCTGCTATTTCACTGAGATAATTTGCTGGGCGGGTCATTGTTGTGGTTCGTAGACTTTACAGCTGAGTTGGACGATTGATTGTTTTTCTCCCTTGGCAGCTAGTAGAGTACCTTCTGATACTATGAGAGGTAGTCTTTGGGGAGGAGGCCAGTCATCTCAATCGCTACAAGTCCTATATCCAAAGCATGTCATGTCTTCAGTAATAGGGTCTTGACTTCAAGTTTTGGGAGGCAAGCAAGCACTATGCTAATAACCTATATTGCTGGGAGTCTCTTGGACTACCCTGACAAACACTCCCTTGTCTGGCCTGTGATTTTTGTTATATAGCCTTCAGAAGCTTCTTTTTGCAACAAATGGATATTATTACAAAGTTTTACAACTGGTCACAATGAAAAGCGTGACTGTGGGGTGCCTCACCTTAAAGGATACATCTATACTGTATCCTCTGCACCAAGGCTCAGGGAACACTGCAGAAGAGGGGAGGGAAATGATTATAAGAACCAGAGGACCAGAGGACGTGCTGCTAGAATGCATTCTAGAGATGACAGGGAAGCTGTACCAGTGAGATCTCCAGTGTGGTTGCCTAACACGATCTGCATGATGACAAAACCAGTTGGCGTGATAATATGGATGACAGAAATTTCATGGGGTTCCATGTCTAGAAGAAGAGCTACACGCAATTAATGGATACAGAGGGAGGGGGAGTCGGTTTTCTCCAGGGACTAGTACTCTGATAGGTTATCTAATCCCAAGTGGACAGTCCTAAATACACATATAAACACCACTAAATGGATTCAGTGCTTTATGTGTGTGTGTATTTATAAATGTATGTATGTATATGTAACAATAATAATCGAAGAAGGGAACAAGAAGCTGAGGGTGTGGAGGACAAGGGAGGTCAGTGGGGACTGGAGCAGGTGAAAATGATGTAAACAAGTTTTTGAAAAAAATGTCTTTTGAAAAAGTATTTAAAGACTATAATAAATGGACACTTTTAAATTAAAAAAGAACATTGTTTACAGCTTGTTTCCAACATACCTAAAACTCACAAGATATATACGTACATGGTGAGGAAGACGGGAAGCAAATCAAACTCTACTTCGGAAGGAATTTCTGGGTTTTGGCTTGTTCTAAGATGTCCTAATAGGATATTTGTAGTTATTTCCTCTCTCCCTTTGATTGGTAAAATCACAGAGCTTGGTCATGATTTTCACCTAATAGATTTAAGGCCTGCATAGCACAGTACCCTCCAGACCCATTCACATATGTACTCATTCATTCTAAAAACCATCTGTACTTTATAAAACAAGTGGAGCCCGGGCCTTTGCCCTGAGGGTTGACTATCTAACAATGAGATTATTGAGTTTTCTAAACACAGTAATTCTTTCTCATTCAAGAGATGTGCTGCTCTGTCTGCTATTTATTTGGCATGCCTTTCCCCTTGCCTATTACTCACATCACAGTTTTGGTTTAGCAAATGTATCATATGACATGAGTAAAGTTATGTAAAGTAAGACAGTAGGAAGTGCTAATTATTATCAAATAGTCAAGCGTAAGTTTATAAGAGAAAGGTATAGTTTGATACTCTAGCCATTTGATGATGCCTCTTTCTCCGATTGCCACAATTCTGTTTCTAATAGACACTTTTCTTTCATCTACATGGAATCAGAATAATTCACATCATTAGACTTCAAAAAACAGAAAATTTGAGAACAAATTATTGTCTATCTCCTTTGTTTTATATGGTGCTTTAAATATTACATAAACTGGAATATTTGATAATAAAATCCAGCAGGTACTCATTTTAAAAAAGGACTAGCCACCGGGGAAAAACACTGGGTTCTGAAATTCCATTTTGTGTCACAAGTACTCCTAAATTTCCCTTATTTAGGTTCATGCCCAAAGCCCATGAATAAAGGCTGCGGCACTCCAGCACCAAAGCTCTGCTGTTTCATTCTCAATTTTATTGTGGAGGTTGGGAGGCAAAGGTAAAATAAATGCAAATTTTCATATAAATGTATTTTAAATCATTTCCAGTAGCTTTAGTTTAAAATCTGATAATCAGAAAGAGGGAGGAGGAAGGAAATTCCTCAGAAAGGTGACCTTGTAAAGGACCACTGGCCCAATAAAACGTTCATTCCTTAAGATTTCTTTTCACGTAGCTCCTACTCGCCTCAAATGCCCTATAGAGCCAAGTATGACCTTTAACTCCTGATTCTCCTGCCTCCACCTCTCTAGTACTGGGACAGGGCTACATGAGACCCTGTCCTAAACAAATAAATAAAAATTAGAATATATTTGAGGCCTGTCATAGTGGCCCACATCTATAATTCCAGCACCCAGAAGGCACCCAGGAGGACTGTAAAGTTCTAGGCAAGCCCAGTCTACACAGTAAGCCACTGTCTCAAAAGAATGTATTTAGAACTTTTCCCACTAAAATAAAAGCAAATTAAAATATTAAAGAAAAAGATTTCTTTTTACAAGTTCGTGTCCTTCTGTTTCCTCGCATCACTCCCCGCGTCCTCTAGCCCGCCCTTTGTCTCTCCCTGGGCCCTCTACTACGCCATTTCAGATTCGATCCTCTGCTTTCTCCTGTATCCCCCATGCTTTACTTTCCTCCCTTTCCTCTCCTTCCTCCAGGTCTGAAATGGGCAGAATCTCACACTGGAACATCTAGTTTGGGTCCTAAGCAAAGCTTCTCTACCCATCCCAGAATTCCTCTAGCACACTGATCTTCGATTCTAACTCTCTCTGCATGACCAAACAGATTCTGAGCTCAGGTAAAATGTACTGTGAGAAGAAATTCAACCAGCTTATCCATCACACCAGTGGGAGTCCACTGGCTGCCTTCATTCCTGTACTTCATTGCTTTGAAGTGGTTCATCATTGTAGATCCTTAGTTACAGCTTGTCCTTTTTAGCTTAACTTTAAGATATATATAAATCAGCAAAAGAAGCATATGTTTGGAGAGAAATGGCTTAAGTTGTAGTTAATCTTCACCCCCATCACTAGAAAACAGAGCATGGAGACTGTCAATGATAAAGGTGCAGAAAAACAGATCCTGCTGTATATCTAATGCGGGCTAAACATGCATATATGAAGGACGCCAGCAGCGGATAACACATTTTAATATTTTTAAAAACAGTGAAATGAGCAAATCCCTAAAGATGCAACATTTTCCCCTATATTTGCCCAGGAATCCGTTTTGGAAGCCAATTCAATGATTACTACTAGGACGTGGAATTTTGATATCCATTTGGTACTGATTTACACCAGGATTTTTAAGGCTGCCAACAAGAAAGTCCAGAATTTCAGGCAGCCAAAATTCCACAAGAGACAACTGTCTTTTATTTTATAGCTTATGAATTTGGGGCTTAATATGATTTTCCACTAACAAGTTCTGTACCCCCTCCAGAGTGCTAAAGCCGGTGTAGAGATCAGCAAAGTAACACAGAACAGATGAGGCAACTTAATATTAAACTTGAAGGAAAACTGAAGAAATTACACTGTTTACTTAGGAAAAAGCACTCCAGTTGAAAGGGCTGACATGATTTATTACTCGCACTTTACCAGCAGGTCCACATTTTACTGTCAACTCCACTTGTGGCTGTTGTTTGGTGGGGCCACAGTGCTGGAAAGAGTATTAATAAAGACATCAATTAAAGATCTGCTAAATATTGGTAAGAATCTCTCAACATGTCGTGTCTTCTGTTTTTATGAAATAACAAGAAAAAAATACAGAATCATGTCCAGTAATAAATCAGAGGCAAAATAACTTAGGGGCAGAGTTAGGTGGATAAGGCTTTTAAAGCATGAGTGAATCAAGAACCTGTTTTAAAACAAGACATCCATGGCTAATACAAATATTCATGTTGCAAAGTAAAACTTTCGCACATAATTAGAGAAAAGTAGCACAGAGTTTCTCCCTCTCCTCAATGCGATCTGTTGAAAAGAGTGAAGAGAATACACACTGGAGCACTGAAATAATTACACGTATTTTTACAAGTCATGAAATTTCTTTCACAGATGCCACGAAGATAAGAGAGCCCTGAATCGACGCTGTAATGTCGGAATGGCCTACACTTAAGAGACTTTTCCTCAAATTCTAGGCTATTCCAAAATCTTTCATGGCTCATACACTTGCTAATATGGATTATACACATGTTCTCAATTTGAGTCAACAAAGAGATATAGTAATCTATGTTACCAGCATAGAAAGCCATAGAATTAGTGACATACAAAACTAGCTATCAAAACTGCACCTGCAATGTTTTTGAGTAAAGAGAAATTATTTTATATAATCTCACAAATGAAGCACATGAAAAAAAAATAATGGAAATCTTTCCACAGCAGAAGCCCACCCAAAACACTAAGAAGATCCTCCAGATGTCCTAGAGATTTCACATCAGAATTCCTAGCTTGATCCCAAATCGTGGCTGTGGTGTCATCCATGGGAGGATGACTTGCCATCATAATTAGAATATGCTCAGCCTCCCGGCACAACAACGCATCTCTGATGATCTGAGCGTGAAGGACGTAGCACTTTACGTAAGCACCAGATGACGTGAGTGTATGTCTAAAACAGGAACTGTACAAAACAGAATTCTTCACACCCTGCTGCCAAACTGTTCCGGGTAAGAACTAGGAACAAGAGCAGGAGAAAATGGAAGAAAGACTCCTGACAAACATTTTCAACTTTAATAGTAGAAACTTCCATACAGAAAAACTTCATTAAAAATATACTGCTAAATTACTCTATGGAATTTAGAATTTGCTAATAATGTAATGTTATCTACATGAACTTTAAAAATGGACATTGAATGGATAAATTATTTTATGCCCAAAGTCACTATACTTAGAAGAAAATAAAATGAAGACATTTCTATAAATTAACCTTTGAAGTTTCTTGTCTGTTCTCATGCCTTATTACAAGACAGAGCACTGCAAACCAAAGAGTCATTTGTAGAGAAGGCCGAGGTAACAAGTCTCTGGTGGCAGGCACCCATGTAGGTATTATTGCTGTTGATCCAGGCCCTTTATCAAGAAGAGGCTCTTCTGGTTCATTCAGTAAGGAATGTTGGTTTCACCCTATCAGCACAGTTATGACAAATTATTCTGATAATTTCTGATTAGATGTTCAAAAAAGCAGAAATGCATTTCTGAACACATCAGATTCACAGGCTGCCACTTCATCTTAAAGCTTAATTTCTCTCTCGATTTTCCCTGTTGGTTCCTTTCTGTCCTTAACTCACTCCCTAGTCTGACACTCCTTTATTTTACCTATAACCACATCCTCGGCAGCATTATGTTCTCTATAAATCTTTAGGCAGTCAGTAAAATTCACTGTGTCCTTTGGAAATCTAATCATACAAAACAACAAAACCCAGGTATAACAAAGTAGACACTAGTTGATGTACACTAACTTGAGCCTGAGAGAAAATCATAAAGTCTAAAAGAAGAAATAACTTCTTATTAAGGCCTGAAGAATTTCGCGAAACTTAAATAAACAGGTTTTTAAACCCCTGGTTACATGAGACGACTCAAGTTTAGATAAGAATGAACCCAATCCTGAGGTGGCATTTGCTTATATTTTGTTCATTATTTATGCTGGATTTTTTCATCAATTGGCACCACAGTTGTTTTATATTTGAGCTTCATCTGTGTTCCGTTCACAGCATGCACTGTGTGTGTGTGTTCCTAATTCTCCATCTGGTAACCGTGGGGACCGGGCAGGAGTCAGCATTGTCAATAAGGAAAGAGAAGGAGAGAAGCTGGGAGTCATGGCTTCTGGCAGTGAGCCACCATGGTAGGGAAGGGGAGAGCGGGGGAATTTCTGGAGAACCGGCCCCAAGGCAGTGACTGGCATTCGTGGGGGGACTGCCTTAATCCCAGGCTCTGCTACTGCTGTTATCAAAGGGGGTGGAAAAACAAAAGATTGGTCTTTTGGGATGCCAGGCATCTGCAAATGTTCATCCTTTAGTTTTGCAATATCATTAAACACTGAGGCGAGATGCTGGAACTTGGGTTCCCAACTGAGGAGATAATTCCAGGCACAGTGTCCTCTTGTGAAATCATCAGAGGTCATCTGAGTTGAAAGAGCTATAGACTCTTTCCTGCTATCAGGCAAAACACCTGCTTTTGCTTCTCTTTTCTGGGGTGATGCATGATTTGGAACACAGATTGTATTACAGTCTTCCTCTCCATCTCCTCCCTCAAATGTATTGCTGACTTCTGCTACCTCAGTACTGGCCATCATGTCTGTCTCTCCTGACAGGCAGGAGAGCTGGTCCGAGTCCCTGGGGATGCCTGAGTCCGGCACCCTGGAACCCCGGTCACTCAGGGCTGAGTCTGAATCCTTTCTGTAGGGGTGCTCGTTTATCCTCTGGATTTCCTTATCTTCTGCAGTTTCTCCATCCACAGAGCAGTGGCCACTGGAGTTTGAGTGCCTGTACAGATGGGCAATGTCCTTCTCCATGACACTCATTAAGTTCAACCATTCAGTGGGCATGGCTCCAGTCGGCCCCATTGCATCCCTGCACACTGTGGTCTCCTGCGTGGCCTTGACCTCACTGGCAGCACCGGTCAGTCTTGGATTGATGTCTGTGGATGCTGATGACTTCTTCTCATAGCTGTGTAGTGGGTCTTTTTGTTTACGTCTCAAAATCAGTACAATCAGAGTGCAGACCAGTAACAAAAACACCAGAAAGGATACAGTGAGACTGATAGAGAAGCTGTGGACAAATACCACTTCCTGGCGTCCTTCAGAGGATAGTGAGACATTCACGAACACACTACAGGATGTGAACTTGGAGCCAGGTTTGGGACTATGAGCAATTATTTTCACTTCAAGGGTATCTTCTTTACTGAGCTGATCATTTATTAAGAAAGGGGCTCTAAGCCAGTAAATATTGCCACTTGTTTTGTTTACTGAAAAGTAAGGAGATGAAGTCTCAAGGGAATAAAGAATGACCCCATCAACTCCAGCATCTGCATCTGAGGCTTCTACTCGACCAATGAGCTGTTGTCCTTGATTCTTTTTGGGGAGGTTGAAAAAATATTGATCTTGAGTAAAGATGGGTTCAAATTCATCAATCCCTTCGACTTGCACCCAAACCACAAGAGAGGCTGTGGAGCCACCTCTATCTTTGGCCTGAACCACAAGGCAGTACTTGTCGATACTTTCATAGTCAAGCATTTTCTCAGTATGAATGTCCCCTGTTAAAGGGTCAATGACAAAGAGATCCTGAAAGGAAGGCATCCCCTGTGTGACAAGACAGGGTGACAAGATAGTGTAAGTCACATCTCCATAAGGCCCAGCATCAAAATCCAGAGCGTGTACAGAACACACTGTGGAGAAAGCAGGTAAGTCTTCAGGAACGACACAGGTCAAGGTAGGGGACATGAACCGAGGCACGTGGTCATTATCATCTAAAACATTAATGAGCACAGTTGCAAACGAGTCATATTTCTGCTCTGCATCTGCAGCATGGACAGTTAAGGTGAATTTGATCATTTTCTCATAATCCAGAGGTTTAAGCAAATAAAGAACCCCAGTTGTTTCTTCCAAGTAAAACTGTTCCTTCTCATTCCCAGAGATTATACCATAGATGATTCGTGCATGTGAACCCATGTCAGGGTCATCTGCTGACACCACAGTGATGTGGCTCCCTACAGGAGTACTTTCCTTCACATGGACTTGGTACTGCTGACTGCTGAAAGTGGGCGGGTTGTCATTGACATCAAGTACTTCTATGGTTATGATGGCTGTGGAACTCAATGGTGGGCAACCATGGTCAGATGCTAGGACAACAAGCTTATGGCTGGCACTGGCTTCTCTGTCCAGAGTGTGAAGTAACATGAGAGAACCAAACTGCTTATGAGGATATTCTGAATGGACAAGACTAGTTTCGATGTGGAAGTTGTTCTGTGAATTGCCACTTATGATGGAATACTCAACGTGTGTGTTTTGAACAGTCCAGTCATGGTCAATGGTTGAAAACACCAGGAGGGTGCTTCCAATTGGAGCATCTTCACCCAGGCTAAGATTATAATATTCTTCTGCAAACTCAGGGGCATACTTGTTCACATCTTGTATTTCTATTTCTACTAATGTAAGCGCCTTCAGAGCAGGAATTCCACCATCACTGGCTTCAACAAGAAATCTAATTGTTGGTATTTTATCCACAAGTAACACAGGATTGGTAGTAACTATGGTACCTAAAAAAGAAGACATGGAGTATCAATGTTACAAAATTAAATGCTTGTGATTCATTTAGCCAGCAAATGCTTAATGACATGTAAATGAGTTTGGTTCTTTGTCAAATGTAGGAAATTACAGCCAATAATAAATCCAATTAAAAATTTTAGATTATCATATTTATACTAAAGAGCCAGAAATAATTTTTATCATTTTCACTCTACATGTGCTGCTTAAGGTTGTTTATGATACATTTTAAAAATTTTACTTTTGTATAGTAAGTTGTTCCATGATTTTTTAAAAAGAAAGTATATTCTTGTTTGAAATTTTTTACTATCTCTCATTTCCTGTAAACATATGTACAAAGATATTCTAGCATAAAGATACCTATTCTGAGCTGGGCACAGTGATACATGTCTATAATCCCAGCACTTGGGAGGTTGAGGCAGGAGGATTGTGAGTTTGACACAGGACTGGGATATATAGGGAGACTTTCTCTCAAAATAAAACTTGAATTTTTTGGGAGGCCATAAGTGGGTGGGTGCATGTCTAGCATGTGAAATGCCTTATGTGCAAGGTGTACACACACACACACACACACACACACACACACACAACACAACACACACACATACATATTTACTCTGGAAATATTGGTTGATGTTCACTCTAGGCAAATGAAAGCCATGAAGACCACATTGTGGAGTTTAACTGTTGCTTAATTATCGACATCTTTTATCAAGCTCATGGGCTAATTCAGCACGTGGAAGTTTTCCCTTAATGATTAAATACATTGAATATATCCTGTGTTATTCAGCACAGAAATCTGTAGCTTTTACAAGTATGCACACAACAGCATTTTTGTAGGTGCTTTAAGTACGGTCACTGTAAATGTATGCTGAATGGTGACATTTAAATGCCACTTTTCAATTGTAATCACACCTTGAACTAAATTGACTTGATAGTATTTAATGCTTTAAAACCTTCTAATTAACATCTTGTAGCACTGCTTGTGGATAACACCATCAGGCAAAGGTGTCGCTAAGAACTGAGTGTTCAGGACTATATTGCACACACTGTGATTGGCAGGGCCAGGACAGCACTTGCCAGAATCCGACATCCTGTGAGATGAGTACAAGTGAGAAAACGACGGAAAGGACAGCTAAATTCCTGACATGCCTATACTCCAGCGGCCACCCGTCCCCAGGCTGTGTGACTCCTTCCTCGCTTTTCAAACACCCAATGAGTCTTATTCTGATACTTTGAGCCTAAACTCGTCCTTCAAGTAATCCTGAAATGAATTTTTAACTCAATCCTCACTTGTAAATGGTATGGGGGAAGTAAATATGGCACACAGTGACAGTGTGGTGTGTCACGGGTTCCATTCTTTCCAGAATGTGCCTTGCAAGGGCACTGTTTTGCTGATTATCCATTTATATTAAATTTAACTTTTAACGTCCATTTTCTGTTAAACTTTCTCTGTACTCTCAAGTGTTTGAATATGCAGTTGCTTGTCTGAGTACATTTCACACCACAGATGCCTTCTTCACTGATGAAAACACAAAGGACTTTGGAAGCTATCAGACAAAACAGAACAACCAGCGCTTTCTGTTTAGTAAAATGGATATCTGAATCATTTTCTCTTTTTGACTTTTCTTGTTGTTATTGAACACATGACATGGTTACTGAATATTATTCACCAAGCTTAGCAAAACAGCTTCCAAGCTCTAATAATATGAAATCTTTAATAATGTGTTGGTCCATTTGACATTATTTTAATTCTTACTGAGTCCTGGAACAGTTTCCTGAACTTTGCTTGGTTGGACACATCAACTGGGGGTATCAAGGAGTCTCTGATTTTTCTAGCATTTAGCAGCCATTATACCAAGGTCCTTTGCGTTCTAGCCACTGAGAGGTTGAAGAAGTAGCACTGGTGTTTGCTACTGCAGGTACACAAGAAGGTAAGGCCTAAAAGAGGGTAGGGTTGGAGAGATGTGCAGTGGTTAAGAGCACTGGCTGCTCTTTCAGAGGATCAGCATTCAGTTCCCAGCACCCACATGGCAGTTAGCAACCACCTGTAACTCCAGTTCCAAGGAATCCAATGGCATCTTCTGGTCCCCATGGGCATTGCATGACATGGATACATGCAGGCAAAAATATTCATACACATAAAAATAATACGCATGTATGAAATTCTTTAAAAATATAAAAAAATTAAAGCAGGCAGTGCCTGTAATTACAGGGAGTATAGCAAGAGGAGGGGAGGATGGTTGTCTTTGGAGCATTCGAAAATGGTTGGTCCATGCCTCCACACTGTAATGCAAACCTATGAAGCACTAAAGCCCCCGGAAATAACTCACCACTCAGGGGATCAATGGAGAATTCCTTAGAGGAGGACAAAATCCTGTAAGAAATGGTCCCATTGTGTTCCAGGTCTGTAGCTGACAGGGTCAACACTGAGTATCCTATAGGTACTGACTCAGAAATTGTAGCCTGAAGGCAAAAGAAGAAAACAAAAGGATATTGTGCTTGTAAATAGGATATTTTGTGAGCAGGGACAGACATAAGGTTCTTTGATTAACTTTGATTCCAAAAGCCACCTAATGCGACTTGTCTTTTATAGACCTATTAACATAGAGACCTGACATGTTAAAACTGGTATGTTAACAGCCCTGCACTCGGAAAACAATTTTAATTTCATTTAATTTTTATTTTGATTATGAAACTTTTGCTTTCTAGTTTCTTTCTGTGCTGCAGAAGATAGTGGGGTCACTAATATTGTATCACATGTATTGTTTGATCCAAGTAATTCTCCATGGAGGTCATTTCTTAGCTTCAGTTCTTTCTCCTGTTAGTGCTTAAATCTTACATTTGTTCTGTCCAAGAGTACTGGGATTCATTTCCAGGACCTTCAGAGAATGCTATTATCATCTTGACCTAGATAAACATACACTCTGTCCTAAAATCTAAAATCTTGACTTCTCAGGTTTGCTCAGATTTGCTTCTGTAAAGTGTATTCCAAAAGAAAAATTGCCAAATTAACCTCCATAAGCCAAACTTGCTTGTCTTATCCATGGCACTGCAAATACCAGGCAAAGTTCCAATTGTTGTGAAACAACTAGCCTCCAACTACACAAACACACACATACCATACACACACCACACTAACACATACACATACTACACATATACATACACACATGCACACACACGTACACCACACCACACACACACACACACACACACACACACAAATACCTTAAAAAGTCAATGGCCTTCCCATGTAGCAAACAGAAATGAATGAGCCAAGCAATTCAACTCCACAATATTAAAGACAACAGTTGCAGCACTATCTTGGCACTAAAAGCAGTGAATGCTGTCAGTCAGTGATGGAAGGCTGACCTCTCTCCTTGTTCTTTCTAGTTTGTCATCTCTTTAAGCTCTTTACCTGATAGAAATCTTGAGAAAACACTGGTGGATTATCATTGATGTCCAGCACATGGACAGTGAGGAATCCCTCTATGTGGTGCACTGAATCAGAAATCTGGACGAGCAGCTCATATTCAGAGGTCTCTTCAAAATCCAGTGCTCCCACCACCACCACCACTCCAGTGTCCTGATGGATAGCAAACTTGGTTCCAGGATTACTTTCCTCCGCAAGACTGAAGATGAAAGCTGGACTCAGATCCACATCACGAACTGACACCTGAGACACAATCACACCAGGCAAAGAATCTGCAAGCATCATGACCAAGATCAGCCTCCATTAAAATTCATCAACCCAAGACATTTCTCAATAGTTCAATCAAAACGTTTTCATTTTAAGTCCAAAATAACAAAGCAATTTTTTCTTCTCTGGCATGGTTTCTCATACAAAGTTCATTATGAACTAAATCAAAACGTTGAGTGCAATAAAAGTGAAAATTTACCACAGAGCAGAAAATCAAGGAAGTAGAATATATTTCATTTTTATATTTCATTTTTTGCCATATTCTTACAACATAATTTCAGAATCAGGAAACATCCTAATCACTTATTTGTAGCGTATAGTTTCTATAACAAAATCATATTCGTGGGCAACACAACTAAGAAGAAAGAGAAAGATACTACTCAGAGCACTGATACAAAAATTAAATGTTGAAAAGCAGGCCAGAATTGAATGAAAATATCTGGGTAGACATGTAAGAGTTACTACTTATTGACTAGTATTTAATTTCATGGAATTATTTCTTTAATTATGGCACATGCGTTGCTTCCTTCTTTTAAATTTGTTTCTCAAGATTAAAGTTTCCAAGGCTATGGAAAGACAAAGTACACACAGTTACACGGAGGAGAGTAAGTGTCTACTGTTAGAGGAGACCCCTCCCCCAGAGAAAAGATGACATGCTCAGTGTTTCATGTACCACGTGTTCTCCATCGAACCCACCTATGAAAGGGACTTAGTTTGCAATCTTCTAGTGTAGTGCAGGTGGAAAGAATATGCCAAGATATTCAGAATGGTTCCACTGTATATGAGACTCATAATTTTCAGTTTTCAAGACTGAAGGTTCTTGAAGAACACCACCACACCTTAGCCCCATCCAGCCTGTTTGATTTACGCGGTTTGTTCTATGATCTATTCATACTACGCACACTGATGTATTTTTAACATCATTGCGTGTGCTTAGGAACAGTACATTCTACCAAAAACATAAAACTATCGAACAGGTGGGAGGCAAAACTGGAGATTAATTTATTTGTGGAAAGTAACAGTTTTAAACATCCCTATCTGTAGAGCTTTCTGTGAGAGGAAGTGGTTATAATTTGTTTAGAAAGTGAGCATAGCAAGATGTTAGCATTTTAGAGATGGGTTTGTTATTAAGGGAGAAAGCAGAAGGGTAAAGGTCACTACTGTTTTCAACTCCGTAAAGGGATGTATTGACTTTACTAGTGGAGCCATTGACCATGGGACAATTTTGGGTTCACAGACTATGGAGTCGTATAAGAAATGATCAAACAGTGTAACGTTAAAGCCTTTCTATTTTAAGCTCTACCAGTAGTACGATACGCATGTTGAGGATTACGTTGCTTGAGGAAAGTGATGATTCTGTGCACCCGTCATGCACTTCACTATTGTCACTAGTGTCCTGCAGAGGTTGACAAAGCTACAGGTCTAGCAACATCACTTCTCAGAGAAGGGTCACATGGTTATCATAGCAACACATACATGCTTTTACCTGGACTAGATTTAGTGTTTCAGGAATGTTTACATACAAATATGCTGTAAGGAATGCTAGTTGGAGAATAAGAACTTAGCCTCCAGCTCCCCTGAATGCAAATTCAAGCTCTAGCATTTAAATCCCTTGACATTTGATATTTACCTTATGACCATCCAGTTTTTAATCTATAAATGAAGGTAAAATTGTCTGTCTTGCATGGTTGTTGGAAACTAATAATTAACACAATATCTGGCTTAAACAAGATTGAATATATAAGTTAATCAAAATTACCATTTCAAATTGCCACACTTACTTTCTGCAATTTCTACTGCGTCTGATGGGAGAAAGGTAGGAGCATTGTCATTTATATCAGTCACCTGTATCTTGATCACAGTTGTGTCAGAACGTCGGGGCACCCCTCTATCTGTGGCTTGTACAATCAAGCTGCTTTGGAAGAATCAAGGAAAGTTATGAGTCATCTAGGAATTAGAAAAACAACACATCAAATCATTCTGAATATTTTTATATGAATTCACAAGTTTTTATTTCTTCCATAGTCTTTTGAAGTGACATCATTTAAAATGTTTCAAAAGTCACGTTCCTTCTAATGTGACCCCCCTCAGCATGCTTCATCTGCTGAAGATACACAGCACCCTAATTACTGGCCTGTTTTTCATTCTCCTCTAAGGACTATGAAGCCCAGGCAAGAAGCAGCTGAGGCATAAGATAAGCTGTCAATTAGAACAGCTTCCCTTCAGAGACAGCCTTCATCTTAGCCAGTTACATAGACTACTTTTTAAGAAACCAGGTCTTGAAAGTAGACATTTTCTTTTCCATTGCTGGCACCTTGTATGTGTCTTTTCTTTTCCTAATTCTAAATTTAAATATAATGTAAAATAAGCTTCATCTCTTTCTCATTTTAAATTCCACTAAGGGCAAATAGTCACTGCATACCACTCACGAAGCCCACAAGATGTTGCCTTGGATACTAGCTGAGTTGATAAAAGCAGATTCACCCCTTAATTTTCACAGTTTTGAGATCTAGGAATTTTGACTTTGTTAGCATGACCATGGGTCAAGTACATATGGAGATATTTTAGTAAAAATAATCAGCTCCTAAAGTCAGCCCCTCTTGGCCTTCTTCCTCTCCCCATGTAACCCAAAATCTCAGCCAAGACATCAAAGTTAAGGATCTATCAATTCTTCTATTACAGCTACAAACACCCTTATTTTCATAATGTCACAACCTCGAGGTTCTATGTAATGCTTATGTTGGATGAAAAGAGTGAGATTCTTTGCTATGGACGGAAATGGGTTATCCTGTTTCAAAATGAAAGAGCAAGAAACTTGTTTCTCAACAATTTAAAGAACAAATGAAAAATCAATAAAGCAGATCCACAGCAATTCTACCCAGTGCTGTGGGACCTCGGGCTCTCCCTGAAGGCCCCTTGGCAGTCTTTGGGCAGCTATTGGTTGTAGCCTGTCCAACTGGCTCCACATTTCCCTGATTAGTGTGATCAGCAGAGCTGTAAATGAAACTAGCCAGAATTAGAAATAGGCCCATGCTAAGTTCAGTCATATTTTTCCTAGTCTCTGAAACATGGGAAGATTCATTCACTATGTTAAACTTAACTTAAACTGAGGCCTTTGACCAGATAAGATCTTAAAATACTGAAGTTGTTAGTAGAGGGTTTTTCAAAACTTTTCTTGCAGCTGTGTCTTAAATATCTACCAAGAATTTTCTGTTCCTTCTGTAGTTTTAAGAAAAACAAAAACATCAGCTAACGGAAATAACTACAGAATGAATTAGGATTTCGGATGAAAGATGGTAAGGCCAACTTCTCAAATTTATCTCCTCAAAATTCCACTAAGATGATAGCTAGGGAAGTTAAAGCAACATGCAAGTCCACAGGTCTGAAAAGAAACAGGGGACCATATCAGTGGAGGGACAGATGAGAAGGGTTAATAGATTAGGGGGTGGTTGTGGATAAGTGCCTGGGACGAAATCAGAAATTAGAGGCATTCAGGAGGTAAAGCAGTAAAAATGGATCCTAAATCCACATATTATATGTGCTTGGTTTATTGCTCATCATTTGTGTACATGCATACTATAGACACACACATATATATTACTTACAAAAGCTCTTCCTTCCATGATTGTTAATCTTTTACAGTTTCCTGTTTTATATATATGAAATATTCCAGAGAAGTAAAACAAAAAAGCCAACAAATAAAACAAAAAATGGAAAGAAGTTAATAAAATATAGCTAACAAAGGATCCTTCAAAGTCTAACACCTGAATAGGATCAATATCTATTTAACGCTGTGGTGGTTTGAATGAGAATATTACCCATAGGCTCCAGGTATTCAGATATTTTGTCCCTAGTTGATAGTGAGGTCTTAGAAGGTGTGGCCATGCTGGAAGAAGCATGTCACTGGGGATGGGCTTAAAGAGTTCTCAAGCTTTACCAGATCTCCAGTTGGTCTCCGATTCCTGTGCCTGCTTGAAGATGTGAACGCTTAGCTTCTGCTCAAATCCAGTCACCTCTGTCACCATGCTTCCCCACCATGATGGACTCTTGCCCCTTGGAACCATGAGCTAAATAAACTCTTCCTTTTATAAGTTACCTTGGCCATGGTGTTTCTATCACAGCAATAGAAAAATAACTAATAACAACACTTACTGAATAGGATCCATAAAATATAAAAGAACAATGCAAAAAACAAAACAAAACCAAAAATCAAACAAGGAAAGAAAGAAAAAGAAAACAGAACAAAAGGAGGAAATTAGCAATGAAATAACACATGAGTGTAGAAAGAAAGGGCTCCCTACGTGAAAAGAATTGGGTCTCATATGAACATTCAAAATTTGCCTTGTTCTTTTTTCTAGTTCCCTGTCTAGAACTTGTAATGCTAATTACTCTTACCTTTACTTCTCCTTCACATCTCCTATTCATGATTCAAGGACTTTCTTTTCCCCCTAGAGATAAGCGTTATGCAATTTGGGAGTCTTTTAGACAGACCCACTGAAGGGGTACTCCAATTGCCTTACCCTGCATCCCTCCCTGTTCAGCTTGGAAGAAGCCAGAATGATCTGCATCCCGATTCCCTATCTGCAAGTTGGGTAAACTTGCAGTATGCAGTATGGTGTGATAAGAATAGGAGGTAGGAATTGGCTAGGCAGTTAGGGTAAAAAGACCCCAAAGAAAAGTAGCCAGTTTCTTGGCTAAAAGTCAAAATGTCCTTGGGCCTCTTAGCAACATACTCTGTTCCAAAGGCCAAAAATGTCGAAAGTATTTGGGAGCTTGTATCTAATCCTTAAAAGATTCTAGGGTTACCTCTTCAGAGCGGGGAATGTTAGAGTAGCAAAAAGCCCCATAGAGAGAAGAAGAAAAAGTACATGAAGTTATCAGAAAAAAATGATGGGGAGATATGGGAGGAGCTGGAGGGGAGGGAGTGGGCATGGATTTGATCAAAACACCTTATATGCATGTATGAAATTCTCAATAAATTATTTTGAAAAAAGATTTGGGTATTCAACTTAAGAATAGACCCATATTAAAGAATTCAATGAGCACAGAGTACATGGCCCAGTGGGCAAAGGCACTTGCTCCTATGCCTGATGACCTGAGTCTAATCCCCAGGACCCACAGTGTGGAAAAAGAAAACCAGTTCCCACAAGTTCTCATCTGACCTCCACATTTATACCAACACACACACACACACACACACACACACACACACACACACACACTAAATAATAAATAATAAATAATAAATAGTAAAAAAAGCAACAAAAATTTGAATGAATATAAATATATAAATATGAAATAACATGACATTTAAAAACATAATGGATAAAACGAAGGCTAAGACCTTCCACAGAGAAGAGGGGAAAATCACATGAAGTAAAAGAATTGGAATTGCATGAGGCATCTCAAAAGCAAATTTAGGTTTTAGAGGATAAAAGAGCAAATACCTTCAAAATTCTGAAAGATACTTTCAACCTCTATACTGTTATTCACATGTATGCTTATATGTGTGTATATGTATGTATATATGTATATAAATGATGACACAGTTGAAGGTGTTTGCAGATATACAAGGTCTCAGATAACTCACTGTCCTTACATCTTCTCTTAAAAAGCCACTGAAAGAAAAATTTAAGAAAAAGGTGTGAGACGTGACACCTGTGGCTCAACTAGGCAGAGTAATAAACAAATCACAGCATATCAGCCCTGCAAAACTTAGTCAGACAGACCATCTGTGTTAGACCAGGAGAAGGAAAAGTATCAAGAATAGAGTCCCAGGACTGGGGAGATGGCTCAAAGGGTAAAAGTGCCTGCTGTGCAAACATGAGGACCTGAATTCCAATCCCCATGTAAAAATCCAGACATGGCTCATGTGCCTGTAACTTCAGCACTGGAGGGCAGAGACAGGCGTTTGCTGGCCTTAATGGCCAGCTTCTGGTTCGGTGAGGGATCCTGTCTTAGAGGAATAAGGTAAAGAGTGATAGAGGAAGACAACAGAGGTCTTCTGGTCACTGTGCAAATAGTAGGATAGATTATCAATCAGCTCCCACCGAAATGTGCATCTGCATACCCATGTGCATATAACACATGAACATACCAAAAAACAAGAAGAAAAAGAATGGAGTCTCAAGCAAAATAAATAAATAATACATAAATAAATAGACCTAATTTGTTATGAGAGGAACTTGGAGGAAAACAAGATTTGTGACGACAGACTTGATGGAACATTTATAAGGAATAAAGTACATAGACAGAGTAAATTGGGCAAGTAGAAATGAATAATTATTATTAAATCAAGGGAGAAGGGGGTGTACGAAGGGAAGCAGATCGTGCATCCTAAACATTTACCTCACCTCATAGTGTGAGCACTGATTATTGATTCAATGTAAAAGTGTTGTGAACATAAAGAAAGAACTGCAATGTGGCAAGGTTACAGATGTTAAAACTTACTATAAAAGGAAGTTGTATTTTGGACCTAGACTGCCCTCAAAAGCCACATGTTAAAATCTTGTCCTCAGCTGAGGGATGTCCTGGAACCTTTAAGAGATGGGGCATGATGGAAACAAATCAGTTATAGGGAGGTGCCCCTGTAGGTTTCACTGTGACCCACCCCCACCCCCATCTCTTCCCCTTACATCCTGGTCACTGTGAGACAGTTGGCTTTGTTCTACTATGCTCTTCCTGCTATGATAAATTGCCCTGCCAGAGACACAAAGTACCAGGCCAGCCAATCACAAAACACAGAAACCTCTGAAACCATGAGCCAAAATCAACCTTTTCTTCTTGTAAGTTGTCTTGAGTATTTTCTTACAGTTATGAAAAGCTGATTAATGGAAAGCTGAGAGATAATGTCTATAATTGTAAAGAACACATGGCTGAAGAGATGGCTCAGCAGTTAAGAGCACTGGCTGC